GCTGCCTGGGGACCGTACTGGAATGGATGCAGGAGAACGGGCTGAGGCTGAACCCGGACAAGACGGAGGTCTTGAGGGTGGGTGCCCCCACTGTTGGCGGCTTGGGTGACTCCCTCTCGTTTGGGGGGGTGACTCTTGCTGCAAAGAATGGGGTTCGCAGTCTGGGGATCCACCTGGACCCGGCGCTCTCCATGGAGACTCAGGTGGCGTCCGTGGTCCGCACCGCCTTTTTTCATCTTTGGCGGATAGCCCGGCTGCGACCCTATCTCGATGTGGGGGCGCTCACCACCCTGGTCCATGCGCTCGTAATCTCAAGATTAGACCACTGTAATGCGCTCTACGTGGGGCTACCTTTGAGGCTGACGCGGAAACTCCAAGTGGTGCAGAATGCGGCGGCCAGACTACTAAGTGGAGCTCGAAGATACCATCACATTTCTCCTATTCTGGCCGCGCTGCATTGGCTGCCCATTCGGTTCCGCGTTGACTTCAAAGTTCTGACGCTTACGTTTAAAGCCCTAAATGGTTTAGGGCCTCGATACTTGGCGGAACGCTTACTCCCACCCAGTTCTACCCGTGTCACCCGAGCGAGTCAGGAGGTGAGGCTGAGGAGCCTGACGCCGAGGGAGGCCCGGAAGGAAAAGACAAGAAACCGGGCCTTCTCGGCGGTGGCTCCTCGCCTCTGGAACAACTTACCTCCTGACATTCGCGCAGCTCCCTCGCTGGGTATTTTCAAGAAACAACTGAAAACATGGATGTTTAGGCAGGCCTTCCCCCTTTCTACCTAACACTTTCTTTTTCTGTTATAATATATCCCATTTCTCGCCATCTTTGGGGAAAAAAATTTTTTTTTTATTTTATCTTAATTTATGTAAATTATTATTTGTGATGTGGTTTGTTATATGTTTCTTTTTAAATGTATGTTGTAAGCCGCCTAGAGTGGTCACAATTGACTAGATAGGCGGGGTATAAATGAAATAAATAAATAAATAAATAAATATCCATTTTGAAGGAAATCAACCCTGAGTGCTCAGTGGAAGGACAGATCCTGAAGCCGAGGCTCCAATACTTTGGCCATCCCATGAGAAGAGACGACTCCCTGGAAAAGACCCTGATGTTGGGAAAATGTGAAGGCAAGAGGAGAAGGGGACAGCAGAGGATGAGATGGTTGGACAGTGTCATTGAAGCAACCAACATGAATTTGACCCAGCTCCGGGAGGCAGTGGAAGACAGGAGGGCCTGACGTCCTCTGGTCCATGGGGTCACCAAGTGTCGGACACGACCTAACAACTAAACAATAACAACATATTTACTTCAACAATTTTTACACAAAACTGCACTTTCTTTTAGGGTTGTGATTTTTATTTTTTAAGCTATGAGTTGGTGGACAACACCAACCCATGACCACAAAGTGTTTTCCTACCTGGTGCCTTTGACCCTCTTTTTAAAGCACTGTCTAACTGATAGCAGGGCAAGCTATACATCTGAGTGCAGTATGTGCACTGGACCTTTGGCTCCTCCACCACCTTTACCAGCAAGGTAGACAACACAAATGTGGAAAGAGGGAACTGACAGCAAATAAATAGATGTATTGGTAGAGGGAGTAGCATTGTACTCTTACTTCAAGTTTTGCCTTAAAAAAATCACACTGTTCTCATTTTCCCTCTCTGCTCCCCCAAGTTCAAAATCTGTGCTCCCAAAGGCAAGCCTAATACATGTAAACCTGTAAAATTGATAGTTATGGATGATTCAGGGCAGAGAAAAAGTGTGCAGCAAAAGCACCTCATTTCCTCCATCCTTAGCCTTCCTTCCCAGTGTTTAGCTTCAAAAATATGTTGGGGTTCTGCAAGAAAGATGGCCACAGGGCTCTGTTACATACATTACCATTTTATGTGCAGTTAGTCCCTGAGGACTTCAGCTTTTGGAAGTATTTTACACCAGTGTATATAACAAGCAGCCTAAAAGGGGAGGGGAGTGTGGAATGATGCAATGATACAAAGCCAGGTAATTTTGGCCATCTTGCTCTCTCTTGGCCTTTGCCATTAATGATTTGGTAATGTGCAAACTGCTTTACTTCCTCTTTATCAGGTCTATGACTGTACAATGAAGACTGAAATTTAATGTACTTCCTCTGTCTTCTTCAAAGCTACTTAGTTGTTTTCCTTTCTTACAGGAAGCTAGCTACACTTGCAACCTACACCATACAGGCTACCAGCATACCCTCTTGCACAGAAGCCAGTGTTTGAGGCTTTTTGAGCAAATTTAGTATATTTTCCTTCTATTTTTGACAGAATTTTCTGAAGCAATAAACATATTCTGTTTTTTCCAACTAGAGGTTTCTAGCTCCTCCTAAGAGAGAAACCTCTCACCATAAAATGTGGTAAGAGGTTATAGTGTTCAGGACAGTGGAAAGCAATGCTGTCAGGAGGTTACAGGTCTACACTCCTAGCAGTGTCACCCATGGCAGAATGATCAAGGCTTCATCATTCAATGATAATTCTATCTTCATCAGGAATTAATTGTTATATTAACAATAGAGAAATGTTAGTTCCAATGGGGATGGGAATTTTTCCAGGGCAGCTGCAGTAGTGGAAGGTGGCATCAATGGAGGATCTTTCACAAACAACAACAATGGCATTCCGTACTTGTTAGTACTGTGCAGAAAAAGGCAATGTTAAACTACTTCTGAATATTTCCTACCCTGAAAACTGTATGATGAGACAATCTAAAATGAAACAAGATACAGTGTTGATGATGAGATGAGATTTTTAGGATGGAAGGCACTGGGGAAGTCAATAGCACAATTGGCAAGAATTCTGGACATTAAAGGCTACTCTACCACCTGAGGCCCAAAGGCAAGAGGGTTCCCTAGAGAGCCTTCTAACTTGGTGGAAGAGATAGGAAACATCTAATTAAAGATAAAAGGCTGCGGCTGATGTGGGCATAGAACTGCCCCAATAGAATTCCAGTCATTATCCAATCATGCTAAAATAATGATAAGATGGAAAATATATACTGTACAGAAAGGAAGGGAGGATGACAGATTCCATCAAAATCGATAAGATGGAAAATATATACTGAAGAACTGTACAGAAGGGAAGGGAGGATGACAGATTCCATCAAAATGTAATATTTTGATGAAAAACCTATAGCTATAAATAGTGAAATGAAAGCTTTTTTTGAAGGCAATGGGAAGACTTTCTGTACTGCAGTACAATGATCAATCCACTTGGAGACTGCGATCAAGAAATTAGGAGACTCAGATTTGAAAGGGCAGCAAAGAAGGAACTATAAAAGGTCCTTGAATATAAGGATGTGTCACTGCAGAACAAGGTCAAGATCATTCATACTATGGTACTGTATTCCCAATAACTATGTACAGATGTGAAGGCTGGACAATAAAGAAAGCTGACAGGAAAAAATGATTAATTTGAAATGTGCTATTGAAAGCGAGCTTTACAGATGCCATGGACCACTAGAAAGGCAAATAAGTGGGTGCTAGATCAAGTCATGCCTGAACTGTCTCTTGAAGCAAAAATGACTAAACTGACAATCTTGTACTTCAGACACAGCATGAGAAGACAAAGACCATGAAAAAGAAAATAATTATAGGAAAAGTGGAATGCAATAGGAAAAGAGGACATCTGAACATGAGATGGATGGACTCTGTAAAGGAAATCACAATCTTTAGCTTGCAAGATCTGCACAGAGTTGCTAATGAAAGGACATTTTGGAGGTTATTAATTCATTCAGATCATCCTAGGTGGGAAGTGACTTGATGATACATAGCAATAAGTTTTGATAATAGTTGCTCCTATTTAATAATAATAAAATAATAATTGTGTGCCATGAAGTCAATTCTGACTTATGGAGACCCTTTTCAGGGTTTTTCTAGGTAGAGAGCACGCAGAAGTGGTCTGCCATTCACTTCTTCTGGGGGCATCCCTGGGACTGTGCAGCTTGCCCAAGGCCACACAGGCTGGCTCTTCTGGTATGCACAGTGGGGAACTGAACTCTCAAGCTTTGGCTTCGCAGCCAGATACCTCAAATAGAAGCTATCTAGACTGCTCCTATTTAACAGTAATAATTTTTACACAGCCATCTGTACTTTGCTAGCGCACATGCCAAATATCCTTATATATCACTACAGGCTTTCTAAAGTGGGTGTTCATACTTAAATTTGACACATGTTCAATTCAACAATTGAGATGTCATACTGACTTGCCTTCAGTAGATTTTAGGGTGTATTATGTTGAGCATACATTCTGTCTTAAGCATTTATCCAACCCCATTCATGCTTAGATATAGAGACTGGTCCTGTTCCCAACTCCAGGATGAAGTCTGTGGCGTGCATTAAGTACTTTAACATTCTAGCCACAGAGAACCAGGCAAACGGAACAGCTATTTGTGTTGGCCACAGTAATCACAAATTTCAAAATGGGAAGGAGTGCAGTAAAAGGTCTGAATCGGGCTTCAGTCTGTCACCCACTGCCATATGGCTCTTAACATTGCCCAAGGGAATGTGGCTCTTGACAGAAAAACAGCCGCCCGCCTCTGCCATGCGTGATGATATGAATTCTAGAATAAGTGCCTGCCCTCAGTTATCACCACTGTGACATATGGAAAATGGAAAGGGTCCCAATATGATATAATGTATTTCTTATAACTAGCATATACAGTAATTAGTCAAAACCAACCACCATTTGGATTTGAGAAACTCTTTAGAATGCCTCCTTATCTTAGTTTGGGCCTCCGATTGTATACTAGGTATGCCACTTGCCTTGAATTCTTGAGAGTTTACCGCTGGGTAACTTCATACAGTATGGTCGGTAACAGCAGTATGTCCAGGGAATTACATTTGTGGGGTGCTTACTTCTGTTGTGTAATGACACTGATAGTCTCTTTTCTGCCAGCATGGAACAAGGATTGTACACGGATTTCTTGGTGATCTCCAGTCTATGCACTGTGGAACAAGGATTGTACACGGAAGATTTCTTGGTGATCTCCAGTCTATGCACTGAGGAGACCGAGACCTGCTTAGCTTCGGCAAGACAACTGTATCACCAGGGTAAGTGGCTGCTCATAGACTGGATTGTGGAGGTGGCTCACCTCAAAATTTCTGGAGGTGCCTCCCTGCCCATTCATAAGCTGCTTATATGTATCATGCGCCTTCAGGTCATATTCTCCCTTTATTCACTATTGGCTTGTATCTCATGTGCAGTTTCTTGCTTGCTTGCTTGCTGTGTGCTAAGATAATTTGCCTGAGAGGGTGGCATTTAAGGGCACATCACCCTATCGCACCACCCAATTATCAGGGGCACTGCCAGTCAGCAAAACACCGATTTTTAAAATATGCAAAATCTTTCCAGAGCAATCAGTCCTCACGTCCAAATGTAAAATGCAGAAAGGCACATACTGAGAGAATAAATTGCATTTTAAAACACGGAACGCTAGAACAGCGCACAGAGTTTGCTCACGTATCACTTTATATGCCTCCCCCCTCCGCCCCGGCACATTTGTCACCATCGACGCTGTGCGAATAAAGGAAAGAGAACCGACCGTGTGAGAGCATTTTAAACCCTTCCTTCCCTAAACCCCCCTCACCGCCCGGTGGACGACCTCTTCCCATCCCAGGCCCATTTCCTCCCCAACCCCC